AAAGCATTAATATTAAATAAATTAAAAAACAAATGGATTGTTCAAATTTTTTTTTTATTGGAATGCACACAAAAAATATATTTATACTATTTAAAAAGCCATATAGCCAATTTAACTTTTTTTTTAATGGCTTTTGCTTATACCCAAGATATCCCGGGTTTCATGTCCTTGATTCATCAAATGCAACAAAATATATTTTATTATTATTTTGAAGCGAGCAGAATTCTTGATTACATATTCTTTTGCATCCTACTTGGTTCAAAAGAAGAAATTATGAAAGAAAAAGAAAAGCACAGAACAGACTAGCTCGTAAAGAGGATGATTGGATTGTAAGTCATAACCACTCCTCGTGCACGGTAGCAATTGGCAGTAACTGGTGAAATAAAACGGAGGCATTAAGAAAATCCAAAGCCTTTCTTTAACAGAGACTAAAGATCCAGACCGAGACAAAATGATTTGTTCCGAGAATCGGATTCACTGCTTCGAAAGAAGGAAGCTGGTGGACTGGCTCTGATAATGTGGTCCAGTTCGGCCGATCTAGCCCACTCAACGGCTACAACCCTTCAACTAAAAGCAGGCACAGACTATAATCTGACCACACCGTCTTTGCTTTGAAATAAAGTCAGGGATGCCAATGAATATCTATAATATTGTCTATTGGTTTTCTTACCCTAGCGGGACAATTTTTAAAATTATTTTTTTATTTATTTGTTATAATTAAAATAGATATTTTTTTAGAATAAAATAATTTATATTCTAAATAAATATATTTTTTATTAGATGATTTTTTTATTTTTATAAAAAAATACCCACTCTTCCATGGAAACTCTACTCTCTTGTTTATCTTTTTTACAAAAATATATTATCTATGAGAATTATTTTTTCTTAAATAGAAACTTATTATAATATGAAAAATAAAGCTAAATAAAAAATCATGCTTAGAGATTTGCATACGATAAAAGAAAAGGTAAAATAATAACTAATTTAAAAAATTGATGTAATAAATTTACAATAAAAAATAAAAAAATAGATATTGTATTCTACTAATATTGATAGAATGTTGTTTTATATAAACTTTGTAATAAATTAATTAAAAGTATAATTTTATTTGAGAATTGTAGCAAAATTGGCTCGTATTTTAAATATTATTTTAATTATTTTATTCATAATAAATTTAACTAGAAAAATAATAATTCAAAGTAACATAAAAAGGTCAAACCTAGACCCAGGAGGATTGGCCTGCCCACATCACATTGACAAAAAAAAAAAAAAAGTTCAGATGTTCGTAGCCCTCTCTATCTCTGTCCTTACTTGACACGTAAGAATCAGACACATAAACATGAAAATTTTAGGATACAAACATAAAATTTTCAAAAAATAAAGATTGAATGATAAAAAAATAAAACTTCAAGGACCAAACTGTAGTTTTCCATGCCACTCAGAGTGGTGGTCGTTGCTTCCACGTTTCAATCAAAAGATTGTGTTTGAAAGTTTTAAAAAGCTGGGCATGTTAGACACACAGACAACCAGGCTAGCCGCTTGCAAACCTGGAGAAGGCGAGACCAGTACGGAATAACAGCAACAATGAATGAGCAAGTTCTGAAGACTGTGTTGCTTCTGCAAGTGCTCTGTCTGTGTTTACAGTCTCCCCAACCATAATAGCAAATGTAGAACTCCAGGCTTCTAAGAGATTGAACCTGCATCAATACAATGAATAATTGTTAGGTATTATAATTTAATTGTATGTTTATGTTTAGTTTAACTAAGACGTGATTTGCATGAATAAAGAAGAATTTTTACTTAGTTAATTTTTAAATTTATCATTGAGAACTTACTATTAAATAAACAACTTAAGAAATATTCAAATCTTAAATAAATTAATTGGTTTCTTTACTTGTTAAAGTATTTAGAATATAGAAGGGATATGGGTGATAATGTTGTTAAAAATTATATTTTTCATTTGTATAATTTTATTACTCTTTACTTGATATAAATAAATTAAATATAATTAGATTTTTAGAATTTCAACAATATAATCTATATTAAATATTAGGTGTACTATTGATCATGGACTCCAAACTCGGAAACGAACTAAAAAATCTCACCATGAAATACTAGATTCTAAGCTTTAGAATAACATGAGAAAAACAAAGCAAGAAACATATTTGAAAAGGTCCGGAAAAATAGATGAGAACAAGACATGAGAGTTACTGTTTGTTGTAGAGAACAGCTGCCCTTCAATCCCGTTTTATACTAAATTTAGAAACTAAAATTCATGTATAATTAAATTCTGAAATTAAAACAGATGCAGAATTAACTTTGTTATGGAAATTACTATAATTTTTTTTCTTCATTTATTACCTTATTTAACCGTCATAAAATAAAATAAAACCTAGCATTTTTTTTTTTTGGCCTTCAATGTGAGATTAAGGTATGGAGTTTTGTAAAGGTAAGCCAACGAAGGTTCCTTTACATAAATCTTTTAATCATTCATATCTTGATTTAAATAAATTAATGTTTGATGTTCAAGTATTTCTTTAAATAATAATTTTTAATAAATTTTTAATTTAAAAAATGAGTCGATCTCATATTTAATTTGGTTTAATTTAACCATGTTTTCAAAATAAATTATAACAATAACATAGTTTCCTATATTTAAGTGCTATAACTTTTTTTTTTCTTGAGTACAGACATTAATGATCTTTCTGAGAGAATTTGTTCTCTCAGTTAATTGCCCGTGTGTTTTTTATTAATTGTATGTAGTGATAGTTAAGAATTTAAACTACTGAATAATAATATGGATCTTGAGTTTTGGGCCATGTTTAACCTTTTATCCTTATAATGTATCCGCAAGGCCCAATGTAGGACTTTTTTGGGATCTGTTATAGGCTAGAGGCGACAACTCTTGCTGGAAGACTCGGCTCAAAGCGATATAACCGGCTAACCACTAAAATGCTTGTGGATAATAATATCAAGACTCACGCCAGCCCACTAATTAGGCTAATATGATTGTGGATTGTTATGTTCAATTTATTCTATATCTAAACCTCATCTTTTTTCTCTCTCTTTTTTTTTTTTTCTACCATGGTCAGACAGACAAGGAAGGGAACATGTTCTGATGAGAATATCAAGTCAAATGGCACAAATATAATAATATGTTTATTATCCCTTCCATGCAATTTATGGGGTTGTTTGAAAGTATGATAGTAATTAATTTTTAAATTATTTTTTATTTAAAAATAGATGAAAATAATTTTTTTTTATTTTTAAAAATTATTTTTGACATTGACACATTAAAAATATATAGAAACACAAAAAAAATTGAAGTAAAGAAAAAAAATAATTTTTTTTAAAATACTTTTAAAATATAAAAAAACAAAGTTATTATCTTGATTCATAACTATTGTGATTTATATAGTTACTCATGTAAGAGAGTCGATCTCTATTTGGTTAAATATCCCCATGTCCATTAATACTTTAATATGGGCAAGCTAATGTGTTTATAGTTACTGACAATTAACCATTAATGAAATTATTATTAAATTTATTTAGTGTTATGCCATACATATCACATTACAAGGTTTTATATACCTTGTTCTTTTATAAATAATATTTTGTTTATAAAAAAACTCAATAACTTTATAATTAATAAAATATTAATTTGTCACTTGAACAAGTTAAACAAAAAATAAATTACAACTCTAAACAAAGTAGGATTTAATAAATTAAATAATTTAATTTATTATCAATTTAACAATTAATTAATTTATATTTACAAATCAAGTGTACCAAGCGTGCTATATTCCTTTAAATATTAAAAAAGTCATACGTGACTTGACTTAGCTTTTTAATAAGCAATTTCATAGTGTAATTATTATATATTCATACAAATATTTTGATTTAGACATTATATCATAAAGTATGTTTACTATATTAATGTATATTTGTTATCAATATCATAATTATTGATAATTTAAATAAAATTTGAAACTCTTTTGAAATCTTATTTCATCTTCCACAAGTGTTTTACAATTAATAATACTCTAAAAGGTGTAGAGGATTTGCTATACAAATTGCATTGAGGAAACTAGGGATGTTTAAAATAATTGATTAATTGAAAAAATTGAAAAAAATTAATTGAAAAAATCAATAAAACTCAAGAAAAATTAATTGAGAAAACTGATAAAACTAAAGAAAAATTAGCCAAGAAAACCAAACAGAAATGAAAAACCGATTTTCAAAATCATAAATTTTAATAGTTTTAGTTCGGTTTTGATTTTAAACTAAAAACCGAACCAAACCGAACTAGACCCACTAAAAGCCATAAGTTACAAAAATCTTTGAAGTATAAGTAGTTAAATTGCAACTTAACCAGCTAACCTTGACAATTAATATAACCTTCCTCTTCACGCCTCTCATAAAAAGCCGCCTTATTGTCTAGAGAAATTCTCAATCTTCCTCTCAATTAATTCCCAATCTTCCTTTCCCAATTTCCTTTTAATGCATGCTATGAACTTCGGTCAATAAGTTTCTAAAAAAGTTTTCTAGGTTAGTTAATAATCGTGATGAAAACGAAACATTTATCTTTTCATCAAATGCTTCTACAAGCTCAAGAAACAGTGAATTAGTAACCAATATAGAAGTTTAAGTATTGCATTTTTGCTAGACTTTAATTTAGGATTAGGTTATGGTGATAAGCTCTCATAAGCGGTGAATTCAAAGCTGAACGAATTCTAGGTATTTGTTATTGATATATATATATATATATATATATTTAAGGTTAAATCCTAATTTTGAACATTTAGCATTTAAAAAACTTGAACTTAACTTGAAAAAATCCGGTTTTTTTTTTTTAAAAAAGAAAATTTTGAAGCTTAATTTAATGCAAGTCAATTAAAAGAAACAAAAAAAAAACCCATATATGATGGAATTAGGCTTCCTAGTTTTTTTCTTATAAAAATGGATTTAACCAAACTGGACCGGTTCGGTTTGAACAGGTTTTTGGTTAATATTTCACAAAATTAATACAATTTGATTTGATTGGTTTTTTTAGTCTAAACCAAATCGAACCGTGAACATCCCTAGTGAAATAAACCAAACTGAACTGTGAACATCCTTAGTGGAAACCCTTACAAAACACCGTAGACTCGTTGTTTATAATGTTTTCTTTTTATCTCAATGGATTTTTTTAAATTTTTTTTCCCTCATAAGATCAAATTATAGGCCAATTTAAATTAATTTGTTACCAAAGGACATCATTAAAAGATAAGAACTAAAATAAAAAAATATAGAGGAAATAAATAACTTTTTGAACTTTGAGCTAAATATTCACTGTAGAACTTATACTTTTAAAATCATAAATAACATGTCCCTCTAGTTTTTAACACTATCAAAAAAATCATTTTAGCCTAAAATTTTATTTTTTTATTTTTATATTCATGATTGGAGAGAGATGAGAAAAAATTAATAACAATGGTTTAAAAAATTCCAACCCGCACCTGACCCATAATGTCTATTTATTATTTTTTTTTGATCTATATTATCTATGATATTTATATTATCTAATTTTAATTTTTTAGTTCAGGTCAAATAATGCAACCATTACAATAAACCAATTTTTTGAACAACCCTAATATTATATGCTTCGGTAATAATATAGGAAATAAGTGTATAATTACCTTATCAATAAAGTTTGCAGAAGCTTTTATCTAGATGAAGTCGAAACACAAGAATCATGGGTTTATTGTTAAATTACCGAGAAAATAACATGTTTTTTCACAACTTCATTGCCAAAACATTTTATTTGAAGTAGAGAGATTAATGATCTTTCCGAGAGAATTTGTTCCGTTGGTAGAGTTACAGTTCTCTGTCATTTTATCCATATCAGTTGTCAAAAATATAAATTTCTGAATAATACTATAGATTTTTGGTTTTGAGTTTGTTCTATTATAGATGATCCAAATCTCAACCCAAGTTCAACAGCAGCCCTACTCCGTTGGACAGCACAACAGACTTCCATGCATGTGTTAGGTAGAGAAGTAGAGAGAGCTTTGTTCATAAGATACTCGAACTTTTACAGAAACAAGTAAATATTGAATAATCGTTTCAAACAGTCCCTTATGAAAAATATTGATTTCCAGGCATCGGCATTTTACAGTTTTGAGACTCGTGTTTTCTGTTTTGACTTGTTTGTCCATCTTCTGTACACTTTACGAGGATACTCCATTACTTCGATGCAAGGATTTTAGGGAGTGGCCATGCTTTTAGCGTCAGTTTGGAAACATTAGCTCAGAAACCCACTCGTTATTGAAGTACGAATACAGTGGTAGGAATATTTCCATATAGAAATTCAAAACTAGCAGCATTACACTATCGTTCTCCTTTCGCCATCACATTTTATCAGATGTGTAATGTTTTTGTTGAGAAAAGAAAACCTTTTTGTTTAGTTGGAAAGAGGATCTTCTTTTTGGAAAAATTGGTTTTTAAATTAAAGTATTTAAATAATTTATTTTTTTATTTACACTAAAAAAATAAATTTCTTCTTGCTTACCTAAAATATATGTATTAATGGGCTTTTAATTTCATATTAGAAAAAAATGATTTTTTTTAATGTTAATATAGTAAATTTTGATATAAAATAATTACTAACAAAAAATAAGTGGTAAGCTCATGCTTATAAAGCTGGGTTGAATAAGAGGAAAACCCCTCATTTCTCTCTCCACGTGAAGCAATGCTCACTGTCAAAGTTATTAGGGTCTTACCAAGTCAGTTACAGTATCGAGTTTTGCCTAGTTCAAACCTGGGTAAAGCCCCGGCTCACCCGAGTTAATAATTTTATTTTTTTATAATTGTTATCTTATATTTGAAACTTTCCTTTATTACTTTTTATCCTGATGTATTTTAGGTTATAATCATAAAACAACAGGTATTATTTGAAGCAACAAATGCATTTTTCTGAAGCTAATTTGAGCCAGTACTGTCAGATTTGATTTTTTCAATCAAATTCAAATTGAACCGGTGCAACACGAGGTGCCAGTTACTTGATTTGCCATCTCTATTGTTCCTCTAATTATAAATTAATTAATCAATGAAGCCGCTCGTCAATTTTCAACCAGGAAAAAAAAAAATCAAATTTCAACAAGAGGGCTATGCAACTCGAATCAAGAACTCTCCACCAGTGCGCTCCTCCTTATTGAAGTGATATTTTATTTGTCAATCTTATTCTTATCGCTTTTATAATAGGAGTAGTGGTACGGTTGTTTCATTTTTTCTCCATTCTTTTTCTGAAGACTCTGAAATTGGCAAAAATCCTGACAACCGACTATCATCACTGTTCTCTGGTCTTCTGTGCATGTTTTTCTAAAGAATATGGTTGTGATTTGGAAAAGGGAAAATGTCTCCTCCATCCCTGTTTGATCGGGGGATTACTAAAGCGTGTAAGCATTTCATAAATTTTCTTGGATATGGGCCAAACTAGTTTATGACAGGAAAGATGGTTCGAAAGGTTTGACAATTTCTCACAGTCACAGTGAGAGATTTGGATTTTCCTTTCTTGAGAAGAAAAGAAAGGCCTTGGCAGGAAAAGAGGGGCGATCCTTCAAAAATTCGATTGGAAAACACGACGGCTAAGACACCGCTGGAGCTAATAACCAAAGAGTAGAAAATAAGACAAGCAGTATTTTCCCCAGTACTTTATTAAAGAAAAGAAAATTGTCGCCATCGTTTTCTCTGCTCATATATTCGAAACATGGAACGTCCCATGTGATTGGTGGTTTGGTTTTTCAAACTGGTTGGAAATGTCCGTATGTCAGGAATAATCCCCAGAAGCCCTTTATTAGGTGATGACGTGGCGCATTTTCTGGTTTACATTTGTGTGGCATGGGCAGCGAGTGCTCGGGGGTCAAATCGCAGGTGCCTGCCTGCCTGCCTCCACTATTTTCCTGTTCCTTCGTTCGGCTCTTCCTTCTCCTTTTTCAGTCAAAAGCGACTTGCCAACCCAAACCAAAACTCCTGGGTATCCATTCACCAGCCACAGAGATGACCATACGGCGAAGCGTGCCCACCCACACTCGTCACCGAGGCTTTTCATCATCCCTACAATGAAACCTACAAACGGATGGATGACGTTTGCTCAGTTACTGTATCAAGATAACATTCAACACAGTTTGATCCACCCATCCAACACGGACGGTGGCTGTGTAATCATTGCTGTATTGCAACCCTGAAGCATCTCACCATTGATGAATGTTGCTTTTCTTTTACAAAAAACCAACAAAGCTCATGGTCTAACCAGATTCAAGGTCAAACAAAGGTATGGTACAAGGGTACTTGATTAGCTCAGATAGCGATGAAGTAAAACAACCCAGAGAAAACAGGGAAATCCATATTTTAAAAGTTATCTTACATTTAAAAAAAAAAAACCAAAACAAAAACACTATATACTTTATATCAGTTCATATGATTGTTCTGTACCATATTTCTCTTTTTTCTTCCACTCGATAAAAAGCAAAAATGATTGAACAAACTGGAAATGAATATCCAGCTGAATTTTCTGCGAATACTACGATATTATCTCATACCACTACCTTTTTCTCTCTTTTCTCTCTTTTTTTTTCCTTTTTAAATTTTCTTTTAACCAAAGAACCAAACCCTGGGACAAACTGTATCTAAAAAAAACTTTTTTTTTTAATCTTTTCTACTCCTTGTCTATAGCCGTTAAGAAGTCTAATTTAACCGCAGTGACTGTCCTTTTCATGCCAAGTGCATGCCGCAGCTCGACCCCCCTCTGCCTCCATCCTCTAATCATGACCCAACTTATTGAACTCCATTTATAAAAGCTTTTTTCAGATTTTTTTTTTTCTTTTCAACTCCATCCCTCGCTACCATCATCTCTTTCTGCCTTCCTTATGTTGGATTTAGGGGAATTTTCTTTGGCAACACCTTCATAGCACACCAAAACTCCTATGTAACAAAATCAAATAGAAGCTGGGTAAAAGAATCCAACTTTCATTTTGTAACTACGATTCGCAGGGTTTGTCTAGCTTCCTCCTTTTAGCATCCGGGGTATTGTGTGAAGAATTTGCGCATGGCTCAACAGTTGTGTGGTTACTGCTATAGCTCAAGCATGCAGCATCCAACACCCCAATGGGGCTTTGGGGCACTGATAGGAGTGAAGCACTTGTGCCCTTAACAGATCCACCAAACAACGACAAATCATGAATCAGTTGAAGACACTTCAGCACTCTCTCCTGCCAAAAATTAAAAAAAAATACAAAAGAACATATTCAATGGTTCATGTATTTAAAATGTCTCAGGTGATCGCCCATGTAAGTAATCAAACTCAAAATGATATAACCAAAAAGAGTCATCATTTATGTCCCTTTATTGTTTTGGACCACAAGGCACCAACTTTACCTTTTGTACAGGTTGAGTGAGTACAGAAATTGCTTGCTCAGCGTCCACTGTTTTGGTTTCCCCCACAACAGCTATTGCCACAGCTGCTGCAATCTCAGAAGGCCTAAATTCCAAGAAGTAAATCCCTGCATTGAATTCCCACCCACCAAAAACATCAGACACCCCCTCTCAAATATCTCCATCATAAAGTTTTTCCAACTGCAAGGAGAAATTATTTTAGATAGTACATTGCCAATGTGTGCATAAGAGTGAGAAAGGGACCTCTAATTGTGCTCAGTATGAGATGGATTGATTGCAAGATTAAAGACTTAGGTGGGGGGGTCTGCTCATTATTGATCCTGCTAAGGAAATAGTCTATGAAGGAGAAAGGAGTAATTGCTTGCATTCTCCAACTCAATGTGCTCAATACAAGAAGCTCCATCCTTTGTATAGTTCTTGCTTCAAATACAAATCTTGATTCGCCCACCTATCAAATATCAGGATCCTTAAATTTATTAGATGAACTTCACAGGTAATGCAAACGGAAATTCTGATGGATCTATACCTGTAGATCTAGAGATAGTGGAACTTCAGTCTCCTCCATTTTGGCCGCAAGAGATAAACATGCCACAGCTAGTAACTGCATCATCCAAGCTTTACCCTTCTGCGGATTACACACAGCAGGATTAAACTAAATGAAATCAAAATGGAATTAGGCGCAGCACAGCAGTAAAAACATAAAGGATCGTAAGAGAGATGCCAAACAACAATGCCATGATTGCTTGATTTCAACTTACAGGTAATTCATAGGCAGAGAGAAATCTATCCAAGTAGTTTATTGATAGATACGCACAAAGTGGTCCAAAACCAAAGTGAGAATGAACCTGTTGAGCAACAAGACCATTAATATTAATCATCAACAAAAGCTCAATTGAGGAATCGAGATAATCGAACAGAACAAAAAAGAACCTAACAGCTCATAAACAACAATCAGCATTAGTGCGAGGCTAATCAAATGAAAGGAAAAGGGGAAGGAGAAAATAAATGCACAAAAAATCTTCTAGGATAAATAGAAAAGACCACATAGAAATGCAATTAACAAATTAGCGCCGGCCCCAAAAAGGGCAAAAAGAAGGGAACCCACCAGACCCACTTCAGATTAAGTAGATGGAGAAGAAAAAAGAACAAACAAAAAGAAAAAAACGCAACCTATTTCATCAAAAACCTCGAAGTACTCACAACACCGATATGAGAGAGTCACTCAGCACAATCAACACTAGAAAAATAGCTTTACATCAATCAAAATATACAGCAAATACAAATCTATCTGCAGACATCCAGCACAGATATCACTATAATCATCACGATATACCAATCCGAAAATGAAAATAAGTCATATACACTATACGGTGAAAAAAAGAAATTCCCCTTTCGGATAGCCAAATCTCATATTTTGAAAACCAGTCAAGAAATATATAAATATAGAAAATCCCATATAATCGCCATTTTAGAACATCAAACTATAGTGAAAAGAAAAAAGAAAAGAACCCGCCTTTGCAATCCAATCAACAGCCTCTTTTCTAGCCCCCATGTCCAGGTCTCCATTTCTCAGTCTCTTCAAGTAATCACCAGTAGGTAAATGCTGACACTCCTTTTCAACCATCAAAACCAAACACTCATCACTCTGCATCGGCAACCACCCGCCATCTCCACCACCGTTTTGATTACAGATTTGATGATTCCCATGATGCCACGTGGCCTCAAACTCCACGGTAGCATCATAGTGATCGTTATCATCGAAGATGCTATTATTATCTTCCGCACATAGAAGGTTTGAAACTGCACAATCAAAACTTGGTGCCATATTTAATAATACCTCTCCGAAAAATCACTCTTTTTCTCTGTTGTATATCTAGGCAATAAAGTTCATTAAGCAGCAAGCGTGTCAAAGCAAGGATTTTTGTGTGTGTATAGAGATTTTAGATGTGTTTTAGAACAAAGAACAGATTTTT